ACAAGGCAGATTTCATTTGAATACGCATGGCAGAATCAGGTCAATCTGGGTATGCTAATGAGTATTACAATAGATGTCTAAAGCAACATTTTAGAGAGAATATATTGCTACAGAAGTACTTCGCATCTCTTGCATCTCTACCCTTAAATACCATGTCCTGTAACACAGGTTCTGGAGGGAGAGGGAACAGTCCTGACTGGGCTAGGTCCTTCTGTCCCTCCTCTCTGGTACCAGCCATGAAGCACAAAGAGCAGTTCAAAAGCATGGCTGTAACACAAAGAAGATATTTTGCAAGATTTCCCACCCAAACACATGAGGCAGAGCTTAGCCAAAGAATTCTGGCCGTCTAATGCACCAAGATAATCGGACAGTAGAATTAATCTCTTTTTTTTCTTCTTGGTTTCATTCTCAGTCTCATCCTATGCCACAATGCACACATGTATTTCCTCCCCCCACCATTTTTGGTTTATGATTGCCAATGCAATGGTGGTATGGATTTGATATTTTAACCTGTAGGACATATATGAATGTGCAGAGGACCTTCCGCTGGGAAGTTATGCACTTCAGTAGGGGGTTAAACCCCATGGAAATAGGTGAACGTGATAGCAACCTGTCTTTCAGTGTATGGCAAAAGAAGGGCCCAAGCTAGGTCACCAAAGCTTCTGAATACAGATCTGGGTGCAGGCAGCATGGAAAAACACCACAGAAAGCAGAAAAGGATCTTCAGACATTTCTTGGGAAAGCTCTGAGCATGGCTCCAAGATCAGATGAGAGAGGTTTTTGGGGAGAAAAGAATCAGCTTCCCTATTAGTTAATTCTTCTTCTGCTCACGGAAAAGGGATATTGCATGATCTGCCAGAAGAAACACCTTCCCAACCCAATATAACAATACTGCATCAGCAGTTAGGTGTGCTTTCATGACAAGCTGTGCCCAGACTGGGCATCCTTTGATTTGCAAGCATCTAGACTTCCAGTATGTGCCACCACTTCTTTCTGAATAAAATCTGTGCTGAAATCTTAATTTATCAGTGTAACTGATAAACTTCTGATTCCCTTTGCTTAAGCTAGCAACAGTCTAGTGACAAATCTACCCATCTCTAGTAGGACATTGGATTAAGAGACTATGCATACTCAGCGACAATAAATTTGAGCATGAAAACATATATTCTTAATGTGTTACCACTTAACACGAAGATGTTAAAACGGTATGTTGGTCTTTGGGGCATTTGGAACTGAAAAATAACATTTGTCCCCACAGTTCTTAAATAAGAAGGAGAAAAAGAAAAACATTCTTGGAAGAAGAGAGATACACACACAAGATGCAACCAGAGAAGAAAACACAGTTTATAAAAATGGATGCTGACTGAGCCATATAAGAAGGCACAGTCAACATGCCAAGATTACATATACTCTAAATAAGTCAGATACTGCTGTTCCATCATGATCTCATATGTACATAAAACATACATAATGCAGAAGTCAAATGTTTTTTTATCCAGGGTATCCATCTTTCTGATCTAGACTGGTCAGACATCCCTGTAATATGGCTTATTTTAGAGATGCAGTATAACCTTCCTGGCTGGTATTATGCAATATCCTCTCCCTTCACAAGCGTTCAGAGAATTCCTGGGGAATTGTCTCCTCCCGCCCACGATTCCATGCAGGAAAATGAGACATGACTTCACTGGCACCAATTTGGGGCCACCATGGGGCCTCACATCAGTGTAACAAACAGAGTTTCCAAGGTAATCAGGTGAAACACACTGCTGTTTCACTCAAGGAACGAATCCCTTGCTCAAGAGTAGAAAAGGACAGGCATCCAGATGCTGCAAGCTCTTCACTGACATGGACAAACCGAGGACTTCTAGGGAGCTAAAGACAGTTGAGATTAATTCCACCCAAAACTACTTGATCACAGTCAAGATTAGTGAAAAAATGCAGTTTAAAACCACATTGGTTTTGATTTGTGCACCAAACGTCTTCCTATGGATTATGTCGCCTAAGGTCCTTTAGACTCAGTGATCACAGATCTACCTAGATCTACCTAGTCACTTACTGTATAGTAATACATACAGTAAACATGCTGTAGGAATAACAGAAGACAAAAGCCACTTCTAGTCTTTGAATGAACTCTGAGAAGGGTTTATTAACAAGTTATGTATCGGGTAACCCTCATTATGTTGTCAGAAGTTCAGCCTACCATTAAGATCAGATAAACCCAGGATTTTGCTAAGCAGTATTTATCATTTGCTGCAACACTCCAGTGGAAGAATGTCTTATTTGGATACCATTATTTTTCTAGGCTGTCCTTTTAAAAGATATATGAGATACACTCATCAAAGGATCAAATCTTTCTATAGATGTATAGTTTGTTCTTCCCACCTACTACGAACGCACCTGCTTTCGCAAAAAAGAGTATTTTTGCAGTATTGTTTTGAATGTAAACAGTGTTTTATGTGCTCCAAGGCAGACCCTAGCAGTGTCATAAATATCATTCTCCCTGTAAACTCTGAGAGTTTACTTCTGAAATAATATTAGCTATGAAATTCTTCTTTTGCCACATTTGTTTCCTATTTTTGTTCACCGTTCCTGGTGTTGCAGATTCTTATTGGTGTAAACTGGCACAGTTCCCCTGACATTAATGAAAGTACAAAAATATATGTAGCAGTTTAAGACCTGGATCATGGTAATTTAAAACTAAGTTGAATGATGCACTCGGGACTATTCTCCAGAGAAGAATCCTGCAAGAATACGAACAGTGCAGATTTGTGATCAGAGCAAAAATCTGGATGTCAAAAAGAATAGGTTCTGTCACCAAACAGCTGGGTAAGTATAACTCACCTTCGTTTTATTCCCTGTGAAATGACTGTAGTTTCACCAAGGTCAGAAACAGAGTCACTAGCATATCCAGCAATAATATTATTAATTAATATACTTTGCCTTAGGTATCTCGAAAGGCTTCATTCAGCAAGCCTTTAAAGTATCTTCATAGCCACAGTGGAAAGGAGCTATTAACAGCGCAGTTTGTTATTATAAATAGGTCTTTTCCATCTCTAAGTTTTGATCTCAGTGATCTTATAAACGAACTATGGAAAAAGTGGCAGCTGTTATCTTGACAGATGGGTCTCAGGCATTGCTCTGCTGGACATTAGACAGTCGTCTCTCTGGAGAACAATAGGAATTTCCAAGTGCCTGTATCTATTTTCATCTATTTAACAAGCCACTCATGTCTTGGACTAGTGAAGGGAAGAAGCACGGAGAATGCAAAATAAATGTTTTAGGGGAGAACATCTCAGAGAAAGGGGTGAGAATCAGATAAGTATCACCTATTAGTGACTTTCCCCTTGAGTTTTACTCAAGTGACAGACAGAAGAAGAATCATAAGTTTCTTAAAGAGGCAATGAAGACCAAGACCAACAGGCACTTCCAGAAGGTGAGATACAGAAAGCCTGTGCACTGAGTGAAGTGCAGCCTATAGTCAGCTAGCAGGACACAATAAGTACAAGGATGCACCTCAATTTTCAGCTCTTCCTAGAATTTAGCATCATCACCCATTTTTGGATGTAGAGCTTTGACTCTGATTTTAAGGACAGACACAAGCCTGAGACAGGTTCATCCTTTTCAAAGGGTTGTTGGTAGAGACGGTGCTGCTGCCCAACTTTTCTATCATCATCAACATTTGCCAAGAGCATCACGAGTTCAACTCCACCTCAAGTTTGAATTTAAACCCATGTCCTTCACCTTTTCTGATGGTAGTCTCATCATCGGACAACCAAACACTCAGTGGGATCACCCTCTATGCTCCCCCCTTGAATCTGTATGGTAGCTGGAAATGGAGAATGATGAAGTTAGGAGAAAACTAAGCAAGTAGTAATCAGGCAGGTCAACGGGATGGGCAGAGACCTGAATCCCAATCCTTGCTCACAGGATTGTGAGTTCAGCTGTGCCTGATGTTGTGTAGGGTTTGTCCCTGCATTGTTCTCATTGACTTTAGTAGGAGTTTGAGGATGGACTGCTCAGACCATAATGTTTTTCCAAAAGCAAAAGTATTTTCACACTCAGGACCGCTGCAAACGAAAGACATTGTAAATGAAGCCAGTTTAGATACTACAAATAGAAGTAGTATTCAGTCCATAGACACAAACAATAAAGATAAACATTGCCAAAAATAACGCAATAGCATAACAGAGTGGAAAACAGCGCAAGTTGAGAGTGGAGCAAACAGGGAAGTGCTACATAAACAAATGTATTACTACACCAGCAATGAAAAGCTGGAAGATTTCAGACTCTACAGCAAAATGTGTAATCTTATCATCTGTAAAAGCAAAGACAGAGATGGTGAATACACTACAAAACTCGCAAGAATTGCTGTAGACCAGACAGCTCTCTATCACAGGTCACGCTATCTTTTATCATCCCAGCAAGTGTAACTGAAAAAGTAGCATCCTATATGACTAACTTACTATACGAAGTCAGTAAAAATTTGTTCCTAACAATCAAATGGCAAAAATACAAATCACAGTAACAAAGGATGTTTTTCTGCAGAAAAATAATGGATGTCCTGTTCAATTTTATCCAACATTCCAAAGAAAATACAATTCAGGGTTGGATGGAATGAAACATTTTGCTTCAGAAAAAAAAAGCCTTATGTTCATCTGAAATGTTTCATGCTAGTGAGAATACACTGCTTTGTTTTCAGATTACTAATATGAACTACTTAAATTCAGCTTTGATGAGGTCTAGGGAGCTCTTGAACACCACCACCTTTCCAATTATTTAACACCAAGTATTGTTTAGCTATGTCCAAGCTAAAAGATACCAGAGCTATTAAGGAGAAAACATAAAAGGAAAAGAGAAAAGTTAAAATTCTTAAGGAGCATGCTGAAGGGAAAGTGTATCAGCTAAAATTCAAGTATCCAGACAGCCAAACCAGACAAAAGAAAGGCAGAAGTGACCTAAAATTTGGATCAAAGAAGCTGAGATTTATGTGGGAAGGATACAGTTATCTGGCCTAAAATAATCATTCATCCAGATACTCAGAGGTATCCTACATCACTTTTAAAAATAATTGAACAGATCTTCCCTGACCAGGTAACACGGCTTACTTTGTAATCCATAATATGTAATGTTAGGGGACATGTAAAAGCTCAATTCATTTCGTCTGCTGCTTCCATTTTCCCATTTTGCACAGCAAAGAAACAGGTTTGTGGGAGTTAATTTATCTCAGTTTTGTGTACCATTTTAATGCTTAAACACGTATCTGCAGATTTACTGTCTGCCTGCATAGAGAGTTTCAGTGATCCCGCTCACATGGGCAGCAACCACCCAAGCTACTGAGTCTTTGGAAGTCATTCATCAGAACTCTAAGTACTCTAGCTGTTCGTGTTATCAAACAGTTGCCAGGAAAAAAAGGAAATAAAATGGAAAATTTCATAAAACCAACAAACTTAAGTAATCTAAGTTTCAAATGAATTAAAAACCCCCTGCTGATTCAACTCAAAACTGACATGGGCACAAATCTATCTCCTGGGAAAACAAGTTTATTTGTGGCTTTTTCATGAAAAAGGATACAGAGAATTTAAATTTCTTAGTATATCTAATCTGTGTCCCCTAACACAACTGAATATCTGTGAGCTCTTGCCTGCTCACGTGACCAAAGATCACTAAGGACACAGCCAGGCACGCTTAAGCCATAACTCTATTTTAACAAGAACAAATCACATGAAAGCATGTTCTGCATCTCATTTCGCATCTCACGTGTTCTGCACAGTCTGTGGGCTCAGGCAGTATCCTAGAGACACAGAGCACCATATATTGCATTCCTATTTTGTCTGTTATAAGCATCCACCTAGCACAGTATCACTGTGTAGTAAAAACACTATTTTCACCAAATCCACCTACCATTTTTGGCACCATTTTATGGCCTTCAACTTACTAACCTGCCCTGAAGACAGGACACTCTGATTCATGAGAACCCCCTCATCATCAGTACTTGTTCTTTACGTGCATGTAATTCGGATGAAGACTTTTCCTGTATGTCCACGACCTTGGCTAATGCTCTAAATAAACCTGTGCTTTATTGCTTATGACATGCTCCCAAATGATGGTTTTCAAATTTTTCGAGTCTTTCTTTGATACCGGAGTCTCTGCCAAGATCATTAATCGGCTGTATTTTCTTGTTGATAAGCTGAAAGGCTTAGCTGAATTTTGGTTTTGTCGTGTTTTGCACCAGTGGTTCCTCTCTCTTTTAGACATCATGGCATCATGATGGTGTTCAGGCAGTACCTGTGGCTTTTCCTGACTGCCAGCTTTGCAACAGTATCATGCAAGCTACCCCTCTGCTGCCTTGCACAGCTACTTCACTCTTCCATCACACCTCATATGTTGGGGAAAGTTCCATTGCTGCTACCTGTAAGGTTTCCAATTCTGAAAATGCTCAGTGGAGAACTTCATGTCAGGCAGGGTGTGGCACGTAATCATGACTCCTGTTTCTGAGCCCTACCACACAGGTTTCACAGATGGACTGCAAGACCACTATTCTCTGCAGGCCTGCAATTTTAGCTGCTTCTCCGCCTTCAGTAAAGTGTTCTAAGTCACTAACGGATGGATACCTGACACATAGGGCACTGCTGCTTCCACTACATCCTGCATGTCAGCCTGAATACTTGGTGAAGGAGAGATATCTAAAGCTATCATATTATTTGCAGGATCAAAAGTCTAAGCCAGCCATAACAATTCTGGTAATTCAATTCTTGATCTATGCATATTTCTGTAATTTTTGTGTGCTTTGCCTTTTTAAGTCAAAACATCATCTGCCTTGCTTGTGCACTGTGTGCCCTAGTGTTTACCTTCTAGCAAGAGGATCATATATTGCCTTCTGTCCTTATGGCACTTCACTTTTTTACTTGCTGTTCACGGCCTTCTTAGAGAGGCGGTCACACGTTTCAAAGCCCAGTATGGTTGGTATTTAGCAGCCAATTCTCCAGGCAAAAAATACTGCTTATAAATTTTTGCACAGCTTGTGAACGAACCAGCGAGTCCTTCTGTGATCTGCTGTATTGGGAACCATGGAGTTAACAAGAATGATTTGGTCCGTTATGGAACATTGCCCCATCACATGCTGATCACGTAATAATGAACAGCTAAAAAAGACGCAATAGAGGAAACAGTTTGTCCCAAGAGGACGCCAAAGAGGAAGTAGCTGGGGAGCGATGAACCTGGTGTTGAAAATCCTGCAGAACGACCTTGAGTAGACTACAAAGGACAGCGAGGAAGATGAAGAATGATGAAGAAACGACCACCCGAGCACTTAGTAGCCCCCCTGTGTAAAAACGACACATGCGCAGAGGGAGCGTTAGATGTGTAACAAAGATGAGAGGTGCTCCTGGGACAGGCTGGCCCCCTGTCACGGGACAACCACCAAAGGATAGGATAAAAAGAGGGAAGCCCCTTGGTTTGGTGAGGTACCCAGCCGTATAGAGGACAACGTTGCCTCCCCGGGGACACCTGGAAAGATGGAGCCTAACACCTGAACCACCACGCAAACACAGAAATGGGTCCTCTATATGCGATCATCTGTTTCGGCATGAATTTGCTTGCTGGGTCGGTATGTATTTAAAGCAATAAACTGCGTAACAGCTAAATGCAAACAGAGTGTCTCTGAATGAGTGGCCACCAAGATACACTGAGCAGGTGTCATCCCATCCCAGAACCCTCCTAATACATCTGCCCTTAATACTAAGGTGGCCTCCATAATGTAAACAGCCTTTTCTGCAAAAATCTGAACACCGGACTCCAGAGATTATGACACTGGACTCCTACACCGCAAATGTTAAATTAACATTTTGCTAAACAGTTTCATAAATATGTCCTTCATCAGTGCTTTCCCAAGGGTTTAAAAGAAAGTAGGGTGATTTTTAAAAAAACAAGTGTTTTATAAACCAGCTGCAGTTGGATTGCAGCATTGTATTAAGCAGAGAATTCATTTTTGGAGCAAATACAGCAGCCTGCTTCAGTTTAGGTGTAATATTTTTTCTATGTCTGTTACAGCAGATTATGTGGATAATACAAGAACAGCGCACCTTGCAAGGAGCCAGAACTTGTTTAGTTGCATCTCTTTGAACGGAACTGCTATATAGGACCATGAAACCTAAACACTGGTGCATTGCAGATTGTCATTTTTAGCTGCTGCAATACCACGTCTTGTTTTGGTGACTACTGCCAGATGACATCATCTTGTAGCAACTTTTTCAGTGGAGCAGCCAAAGCTGCTTCTCCTGGGATATTGTTGACTAGAAATCCAATGACACCATATTTTGAGGGCTTTCTTTTCTTTTTTTTTTTTTTTTTTCTTTTTTTTGGTCTTCCTGCTTCAAGTAAGACTGGAAGGATGGGAAGGAAGAGGAATTACAGAGTCGTATCAGCAAGGAAGGTAACAGATGGCCCTGGGAAAGGCAGAGATGCAAATACTGTTGTAGTACAGCCTAAAGGTGGATCACATCTACACCCAATAAACACATAAGCAGTATCAATTCTTCAGAACTGGTGCATGCATGGATACATACAATTCTATTTTCTCACATTAGCTTGAGCTCTGTGTCAGGTTCTCTATCTAGTAATCTAATAGTGGCTAGAGGTGAAGCCCTAGCAGTGAAAAAGAACAACAGGAAGGCCTTGTTTGCCATGCTGCAAGGATGATTTTTTCTACGAATGCTTCACAGGCTAAGAGCATGACATCAGGCTGTCACGTAACATGGACTGCAGGTCCAGGCTGCATGTTTGAATATATTTGTCTTGGCCTCCACGTCAAGTTCGAATTTTAGAGATGCACTGTGCATGTTCAAATCAAATACCAAACTTCCTCTGGGTGAGCTCCAAGACCTGTGTTGACTCTTGGTATTGCTTAATAAAGAGGGGAGGCCAATGTAAACTACAGATTTTTGTCATTTTTTTCAGATGATCTACTGCTTTGCACAGCCATAAAACGATACGGATTTTCACACATGACACAAAGTTGACAGTGAGCATTTCTAGCTATGGCACAGTGTATGGTTTTACTCTAAGGCAGACAGACTTTGCCCCAATGACCAGGAGAGCACGTTATCTGATCCCTAATTTGTTTAAACACTCCATAGAACCTTTTTAGGCTGGTGCCTAGATATGATCTTTATTTCTGTCTTTGTGGTGACAGTGCTACCAGACTAAGTGCACTGGGCCACGTCTCGGTTTGGTTGCTTACATCTCAATCATTTAAGCTCTCAGAACAGAACACAAATCAGCGCCACTTGTATTTTTAAGGTTACAAGAACGCCTAACCCTTGTTCCGATCTCATTCAGAGCAACTTCAACATCCTGCTTGCTCTGCTAAGGTGTTAAAGAATGCAAACCAGGAGCGCTACCTTTATATCTGCTTCAGAAGCCTTCATGGAGATTAGGAAGTGTTGCTCCAATCTATCCCACCTTGCTATCTGGACACAAAAGTTCTATGCCACCTTGCTATCTGGACACAAAAGGTCAGATTTTAAGCTGGGGTAAACCAGTTGAACCTCAAAAAGGTCAATAGAGCAACGCTTGCTTGTCACAGCTGTGGAGAAATTCTCACTGAGCCACTCCAGAGATATGAGACTTGGGATATAGGGCTCTTTCCCACCACATACTCTCCTATAACCATTTTCTATCCTCCTACACAGTTTCCCTAGCTCCCTAGATATTCTGTTCAATTTCTTGCTATATTTTTTTTTTCCCACTTGCTGCTGTATTTAAAGACAGTTTGCCTTCCTGGAAGCCAGACAATTAACATGTTCTAATCCTTGTGCCACAAAGATTTTCTAACATGGAATTACTCTGCTGGACCCAGGACTAATAAACCTTGGTGGGATCACAAAAGATACAGTGAGAATATTTCCCCACAACTTCTTATTCTTAACAGCAATAAACAGCACACCTGGATCCAAACTTTCTTCATTTGTTCTTGCATCAAGAGCCTTCTCAGAGGGCAGGAAGGAGAAATGA